CATTCCAAATTAGGAAGGTGGCATCTGGTACCATCCGCTGAGCTGCGGATGCATACTCCAGCAAGCTATATGATTTTGTGTGTCTTCCAGGTTTCTGAGTAATAAAAGAGCTAATCCACAGAAAAACCCTAGAAACAACAACCAACCCAGTAGCAATGAGAAACCTCTGGACTCAGATTATCGCCTCCAAATATCGTATTTCAATGCAGAGAACCAGGTCCCCTAAGAGAAACGGTGACTCTAGGTCTGGGTCAGGAAATGTGCAAAGTACAACTAGAACATACTGTCCTCCAGAGGCGAGGGAGCCCTCAAAGTGTACACGGTTGTGTCAAAAAGACTTGGCGGGCTACTGAACACACTCCCACTGGCCAGAGGACACCAAGCACCAATAAAAGTCAAAAGACTGAAGCACAACAAATACACTGAAATCCACATTGCCTTATGACACCAAAACAAAAAGAACAAACCCACCTCGTTAGTCATCTTTGGAGGAGGTTGGAAAACTAACTCAATTATTTTGAAAGCTGGGAAATATGGAAGAGGATCAAGCACTTACCCTGCCTCTCCTGTACAAACTGGTTTAGCGTAACCAAGTAGTTGATTATTCCAAGTTTACAGGTATAAAAGTATCCAAACTAGCAACTGCAGAGGGAAATGTAGAATATCACCATTTCGCAGCCCTACCGAAATAATGATTCTAGGCAACAAATGTCAATGATTCCTCATGTCACAAAAAGAGAGACAACTAAATATTATGTGCCTCCCAATGAAAGTACTAATATTATCTATTAAATATTTTTTCTTTCCTTTTTTAAAAAAAGATTTTATTTATCTTTAGAGAGGGGGAGGGAAGGAGAAAGAGAGGGAGAGAAACATCAATGCATGGTTGCCTCTCACGTGCCCCACTGGGGACCTGGCCTGCAGCCCAGGCATGTGCCCAGACTGGGAAGCAAAGCAGTGACCCTTTGGTTCACAGGCCATCGCTCAACCAACTGAGCCACATGAGTCAGGGCTATTAAATACTCTTTTAAAAAATGGAATCTAATCAAGCCTCTATATCTAATGACTAATTTATAGGCAAAACAGGGGACAAAGGAACATATTAAACTAGACAGCAGGAATGTAGTCAGCAAAATTAGGGTGGAGGGAAAAATCTGTAAATCAAGTAACCAGGCTTCTTCAATAAGTAAAAGGAAAACTAAGAGAGAGAATCTATATGTTAAAAGATCTGAGATAGCTTCAACCAGCTGAAATGTATGGATCATTTTTGTATCCTAATTGAAACAAAAAAATCATATTTTTAAAAATTTGAGAAATAGGAACACAAAATGGATATTTGAGGACATTAACAAGTTATTGTTGATTCTTCTATTTTGTTTAAAGGATTTTATTTATTTACTTTTTAGAGAAAGGAGAAGGAAGGAAGAGAAACATTAATGTGCAAGAGATACACGGACTGGTTGCCTCTCATGCGCCCCCACCTGGGGAATGTGGACCATGACCCAGGCATGTGCCCTGACTGGGAATGAAACCTGTGACCTTCCCGTTTGCAGGCCGGCACTCAGTCCACAAAGCCACGCCATCCAGGGCTAAAGAAACTGAATCAGTAATCAAAAAACTCCCAACAAATAAAAGTCCTGGACCAGATGACTTCACAGGTGAATTTTACCAAACATTCAAAACAGAATTAACATCTATCCTTCTCAAACTATTCAGAAAAATTGAAGAGGAGGGAAGGCTCCCACCTTCATTTTACAAGGCCAGCACCACCCTGATTCCAAAACCAAAGACATTACAAAACATAACATAAAATTAGAGGCCTATATCCCTAATGAAAATAGACGCAAAATCCTCAACAAAATATCAGCAAACCAAATTCAGCAATTAAAAAGATCACACACCACCCTGGCTGGTGTGGCTCAGTGGACTGAGTGCCAGCCTGCAAACCATAGGGTCACCGGTTCGATTTCCAATCAGGGCATATGCCTGGGCTGTGGACCAGGTCCAGAGGCAACCACACATTGATGTTTCTCTCCCTCTCTCCCTCTCTCCATTCCCCTCTCTCTAGAAATAAATAAGATCTTTTTGAAAAAAGTAAGCTCTACTGTATGTTTTCTCTTGATACATCTCTGACCCACCTCCTCTTGCTCACAAGCTGGGACCCAGCTCCCAGGAGGTACTCAGCACATCCAGAAACACTCAGAGCTGGAAAGAGCTTTTATGGCCATTAAGCTTTTCTGTCCTATCAGCTCACCAAAGGGGTGGGACCTCGCCAGGTTCTTTATCCTACCTCTGAGAACAGACGATCAAGCAAAAATGGACTATGGAGGACATATGGGCTTCGGAGATGCTACGAGACCAAGAAGAGGTCAGTAGCAGGCGCCCTGTTGGAGTGGAATCCATGGAGGAAGGCTGGGGTGTGGTGGAGGTCTATAATTGCCCTAAATTGCAGAACAAATAAACACCCTCTGACCAACGCACTGCACCTTCTGAGAAATGTCAAAACACCTGAGATGTGTTCTTTGGAAATCACACAGCTGCACTCTCACTAGGCCCCACGGGCTCCTTGGTGTCCTCTTCCCACCCCCTCTCCCTTCCCCTGGAGCCAGGGAGGCAAAAATATCCAGCAACAAAGGCCTGGAGGCCAGGCCTCTGGTGTCATCTTCAGAAGCAGAGAAGGCCTTTCCGTGGAGAATAAGATGCTGTTTCTGATCTCCTCTTCCTGCTTCTGCTTATCCCCAGGCCCTGAAAGTCCTGAGCATCTCCAACATACATGGTACCAAAACTCCCAAACTCTATGTTAAGAGACATCTAGAAAAACAGCACAAACACCAGAGGAGCTGTAACTGGGTACAGGGGACCATATTCTAGCCTAGCATGGCCACAAGGAGGTTCTTAGGTGGGGTGCTACGGGTGCTGGGCCTTGCAGGGTGGAAGTCACTGGGCTTCATGGTCACAAGAAGGAAGCAGACGGAACGGCAGGTGCGAATAGTACAGAAGAAAATTTGCCCAGTGCTTACTGTGTGCCTGGTGCCAGGCTAAGCATTTTACCCCAAATAGTTGACATCTCACAACCTTCTGAAGTCGGTATGGTTTAATATTCTAGATGAAGAACCCAAGGTCCAGGGGGGTAAAATAGTTTGCCTAAGGTAGTACAGTAATTGGCAGGGCTGGGATGCAAACTAGATTTGGAGTTAGATTTGTCTAACTCCAAAGTCCTCCACACTACATGCACCAAGAACTGGGGGCATGGCTTGTGGGAGAGAAAGGAATACATACCCGTGAAAGAGCAAGGGAATCCCTGAGTGTCATGCTGAAGGTCTGTATGGTAGGCCACAAGGAGGCCATGTCCAGAGCGGTGTTGTAGGAAGAATGAAGGGTTTGCTGGGAAAATGGGAACCCTATGGCCTCAGAAGGTGGGGGCTCAATGGGGGTTGCGGGTAGGGTTAGGGAGGAGTCAGCAGCAAGAGTGAGGAAAGCCTGGAAGAGAAACAAGTTTACCAAATGCCAGCTGGCAATCAGTGGAGTCCACCTTCAGATTTAAGCAAACAAAGAGCTTCTTCCAGTCCCGGTTGGTCCACAAAACTCACATTAAGTGCCAACTGTGTGCCAGGCCCTGCCCCACAGCCTCCCTGTTTCTCCTCCTTTTCCAACAGAGGACAGTCAGGTTGCTGACAGGCTGCTACAATCTGGCACCTGAAGTGCTCTCCTCTTCTTCCTCACCTCCTCCACTTCCACAGTGGAGGTGAACCTTTTTTTTTTTTTTTTTCACATTTATGTTAAAACCATAATATATACAGCCTGGCTGGTGGGCTCAGTGGATTGAGTGCCAGCCTACAAACCAAAGGGTCGCAGGTTGGACTCCCAGTCGGTGCACATGCCCGGGTTGCAGGCCAGATCCCCAGTAGGGGACGCTCGAGAGGCAGCCACACATTGATGTTTCTCTCCCTCTCTCCCTCCCTTCTCCTCTAGAAATGAATGAATAAAACTTTTTTAAAAGAAAGCCTTTTAAATAAAAAATAAAATCATGAACTATATGATTATATTTTAATCTCGGTAAGTTTTAAAATTTAAAGGTATGTATTTTTGCATTGTTGCAAGATAAACAAAAACTAGTGTTGTTGGTTTTTTTCCCCATTGAATCCACTTTTAACCTCAACAAACTTTTTATCTGAAAATTTCCTCCTGAGGGTGAATCATATCTGGTCATCTTCCCCCTCCAGCCACCATGAGACAAGCTCAAGAGTACACTTAGGGGTCAGGGATGGGAACTGACATCCCAGCCACAGTGCCCTTCACCACCGCATGGGGGACGGGGAGGAGGCGAAGACTGGAATCAGGGACATCTACAATTCAGTAAATCTGATGCTCTGTGTACTGTGAAGGGGGAACTGACTTCTCACAATTCTTGTGCTAAGAAACCCTATTCCAACAAGCATCCTTCTTGCTGAGGGTTTAAGTCTTACAGGCCAAATACTAGTGCATGATCTCCCACACCTGTAGGGCCACGCCTTGCTTTCCCAAACACTGCCTTCAGAAGACTGCTCAGCCAGTGGTTTGGCGATGGGAGAAAACTCCAAGCAGGCTCAGCAATTCCCCAGGAAGGTTCACCCCACGGCTAAGGAGAAGCGTCAATGATCACAAACACCTTGGTGTGTGTCTTAGTAGGGAAGTGGGGGACTTTTCCACTTAGTTTCCCCAAACGTTACCACGGGACAGCTCACTCTGGCAATGTCAGGGTAAAGGGATTTACACGGGCACATCTCACACCGACCAACCACTCCCGAGAGACCTGAGCGGGTCCCGGCAGAGACCAAACCATAGTGATTTTAAAGGCTTGTTCGCGTTTGGGCCTGGTCCAGGCCGCAGCTGGACGCAGCTGCCCTTCCAGCGCCTCCATCAGCCCCGGAATCCCCAGCGAGGCCTCTCGAGGCCCCTCTTCGAGAGCCCCCACATTCGCCTGCCCTTTCACAGCCCGGCGGCCCGGCCCCGCGGCTCACCCTCGAGCGTCTCGCACTGCACCAGGTTGAGGTAGTCCGCCTGGCTGAGCACCCCTGCCTTCAAGCCGCGCACTAGTCCCTCCAAGTAGCCATTGTCCACGTTGAAGTAAAGCTCCGGGAAGGACGACATGGCTGCGTCGGGGGCTGTGGAACCGGAGAACCCCGACTAGCAGGCAGGCAGCGCAACTCCTAGATCAGCTGACTTGGCACCCCGAGCCGTCCGTCAAGTGCGTCAGATGACCTTCATGAGTGTCACGTGATCACAACGGGGCTGTTCTGAGCGGCGCTGTCCTTCCGGGTGGCTTCGAAAGGACGCGTTGAGTAGGTGTGGCCTGGGACGGCTCTCTGGCGCCTGCGCGCTGGGGGAAGGAGCGCCTTCAGTTCCCAGTTGGATCTACTGAGTGTCCCTAGCCGGCCACACGGTGGCGCTCATAGCCGTGGAAATTGGATTGGGCCTTCTAGCTTTCCCGGGTCTGTTGAATCTGGTATTGTGGGGCGTGCGGAGTAAAGATGGGAGCTATTTATGCTTGAAAATGTTCAGGGCTGTTGAGTCAGCCTTCTCCCAAGGGGAGCTGAAGCATGGCAAAGGCGACCTTCGCTGGGTATCACACATCGAGTTAGCTGCAAGCAAGCTCAGGAGCCTAATGCCTGTACGCCAGCACGAAGTTGCAGGTCTTGCCCTGTGCTGTGCCCCCTACCCCTTTCCCTCATTTACTGGACAAGATTTTGAGGGCTGGAGAGCGGCTCTTCTCTTTTTCCCTCAACAGTGCCTAGCGCCCTAAGAGCGTGCATGTAAGTCAGCTGATGGGGTAACACAGGTCCTGGGGTAGGGTGTGTGGTTTCTAGGTTTGGTTGCGTCCCCGTCCCTGCCGTGACCTACCCTCTCCAAAGGCCACGTTCGAAATAATGCCACAGCCTTGGGGTTGGTCCCAAACTTTATTCATGCCCCTGGTCCCAAAGTTTATTCACGCCCCCCAGTCCCAAACCCGACTCTGACGGTGACCAGTTAGTTAGGTGCGGCTGCAAGGGTTCGCAGCAGTACCCAGCTTGCGACAGTAGCAGAAGGCATTGAAGAACCGGCAGTAGCACGTGGCACATGGGTCACAGCAGGGTACTTGTTGTCCCAGACAGGACTCATGCAGCCTCAGGCAGCGACGAGGGGAGCGTGGCTCACGTCCTTCTGGATCTAGCACCTGCAGGGTTGCGGGAGTATGGGTTTGCAGAAGTATGGGCCTCCGAAGGCAGGTCAGGGACCTCACCCGCCCCTATCCAAGGGGGCTGGTGGTGGAGCATGGGGGTCTGCAGTGTTGTTCCATGTGAGGAGGGTATGAAATGGAGGATGGGGATGATGCCTGATGGCTCCTCCCCAGGCCTGGGGCCTCACCCGTTTCCCTGAACAGTTAGTTACCTTTGCCAAGTCCTTGGCCTCCTGCAGCAGAGCCTCTTCTGCCTGTTCTGCAGTTGTCCTCTTCAGCCCAGGCTGCAGGCCCAGGCCTGGGACAGCGACGTGAGGGCAGAACACATGCATCTCCCCTCCCCCATGAGCAAAACACCCACCTCCCAACCTGGGATTGGGAAGGGAGAAGGAGGGCTCATACCCGGCAGAGTAGTTTGTGGCCCAGGGATTCCAGGCCCCACCCAGACCCACCCCGGCCCACACTGACCTGACATCTCTGGGAACAGGGCCTGGTCAGACCCTCTGATGCCCTCCTGGGGTGCCAAGCTCATCTGGGCACCCTGCATGGCAGGTAGTGCCAGCAGCAGGGCACAGCTCAGCACTGCAGTCAGCATGGCCTGGCTCAGCAGGGAGACCCACCACTTAGTCCCTCCTAGTCCTTGGAGAACCCTCTGAGTGCCCGATCCCCAAGAGAGGTCCCCCGGAGAGGAGGAGTCTTTGCCCCACCAGGGGACTTACTTCTGCTTGCTGGGTCCTTGCCTGGAGAGTTCCCGGCCACCCCGCGCCCTCAGCTTATATAGCAGGGTCTAATGAAGGGCCCACACGTGACTATTGCCTGCAGCCAGGGTGTGAGAGGCCCTCCCCAGAGGCGGGGGAAGGTAAAACTTGGGTCCGTCTCCCTGGAATCTGAGCTTTGGGGTGCTCTACTAGAAGGTGACCATCTCCAATCAAGGGTGAGGTCTCCAGGAGCCAGTTAAAGTTTGGGAACAAGATAGGGTGCCCAGAGCCCCCCAAATTTCTACAGGTCAGTGACCTGGGAGATGGTCAGGCTGGAGCCATTAGCAGTAACAAGGCAGGCGGCCCTGAGAGCTTAATTTAATTTGTGGCCCCGGAGATGCTCACTCAGACATTACCTGGCATGTTGTTTGCTTTGTTTACAGGAACATAGGTCAAGGACATTGAATTGGGTGATGGGCCAGTGGTCAGAGTGGGGTAAATATGTGGTACAGACCTAGATTCTGGGTTTTTTGGGAGGTAAAGGGATGGAAGAAGCCCGCCTAGCCAGCACAAGCCCTCCTGCTTCCATCCTGGCTCTGCCTCCCCTCCTCCTCCCTCCAAGCTTCTCCAAGACCCCCACCCCTTTTCCGGTCCTCGGATCCCTTTCTGCTTGGGGTTCCTGGAAGCCAAGTAAGCAGAACAGATTGTTCCCTGGGTGGGCGAGCAGCTTCACAGTAAAAAGCTTTCAGGCCGCCAGCCTCATTAGTACTAATGGTTGCTCCTGTCCTTCCTGCGTTGTTAGGTCTCCACCCACACCTGGTCTCATCAGCAAAGGCTGCAGCGAGAACAGCTCTTTCGTGGAGAAGGTAGGACACACAGGACCCCTGCCTTCCCTCAGCCCTCTGGAGGGCGATGTATCACACACCTTGCCCCGCAGAAAAAGGGATGCAGTGTGATTCAGCTGCAGGGCCTCAGTGTGCAAACTGGGCCAGCCCAGGTTCACACCGGATATTCTGACCAGACAAAGGCCTGAGGAAGTTCTTTCAGCAGCAGGTGGATGTTGTCGTCTGGCAGCCTTTGGCTTGGCGTCAATGCCAACAATTGGTGTTGGGGTGCGGGTGGCCTGGGGAGGGAAAAGGCCCTCCCCAGAGGGTGGTCCCCTGGCAGCTTCTTCCACGGATGGGCACTGATGTCTGATTCTTGGATCAGGCTGGCACTGGGCTCACTTATGCTTGGTTCAGAGTAACGGTGTTGGGCGCTCAGAGGTTACACTACTGCTGAGGGCGGGGCGGGGCCCTGGTCCCTGTTTCTTCCCCGAGAAAGGTACTGGCTGTTTTGGTGACTCTGTCACAAAGCCAACCTGGTGTCAAGGCCTCCCTGGACGTGGAGCTTTCTCTCCTATAGGCTGGAATGAGCCTGGTGGCCACTCCGGGGCTTCCTCTTCTCAGAATGGTGCGAGGCGACGGTGTCTGGCACCCACGTGTGACCCCATCCTGGTGGGACCACTGGGGGTAAACAATGCATCAATACACCTGAGGCGCGTTCCCTAAATCCCTGTGCCCTGGTCCCATCTTCTGGCTAAAGAAATAGTGGTGGGGAGGGAGCAGGGACTGTTGTGGATTTTAGAAAGGCGCCGTGGGTGAGTTACGGCAGGCCTGGTCAGCACCCGTGCTAAGGACAGCTCTTCATGTGCTAGGCTGGGGCCTCCTCCGACTCAGGCACTGGGTGTCTTCACCAACTACGGAACAGTGACTGTCTTCACCTGCGCGTGTGCGTACAGGTGTGTCAGCCCCACAGACATGACGGACCAGCGCTGAGGCACTCACTTCTAAAAATGTTCCAAGGGCTCATCTTTTAGAGAAACATAATGACATATTTACTGATGAAATGATGTAAGTCTGGGATTTGCTTCAAAATCACCAGGGGTAGGGGGGGGGATAATGGGAGGTGATGGAGATGAATGAAACAAGGTTGTTCGTGAGTTGGTGACTGTTGAAATTGGGTGGCGGGGTAGGATGGGTAGATGGGCTTCATTATCCCATTACTGGTGCTTTTGTTTATGTTAGAAGTTTTCCAGGATGAAAATTAAGAACAAAATAAAAATTTAAAAATGCAGCAGGGTAAGTGCTTTGATTAAAGAATGTCCCAGGAGTGTGTGGCATCAGGGTGGGCGCCTGCCCTGGCGGAGGGAGGGGGAGGGAAGTTGACCGGGGAAGGCTTCTCAGGGTAGGAGAGCTGTACTCAGTCATGATGCCTGAGAAGGAGTCGGGGAGATTCCAGTCAAGGGACATTGTTAGCTTCCTGGATTTGTAACTGGCACATGGTTTATCAAGCTGACTAATTCTACAGCTCAACGCTGGCACAGGCTCTGCACCAGTCCTGGTTCCTGCCTGGAGGGTCCCAGGCTGGTAAACAGTCAGTAGAGTTTTCTCTCTCCTGCAGTCGGGGAGTCAGCTCCCCCCAGAGCTGCTTCAGCCCCTGAGTTGGTCAGCAAACATCCATGACCACCTTCATGGTGTCCAGCTACTACTGTGAGTGTGCGCAGGCTCCGACCACAGCAGCACGCATGCCACCCGTCACCCGGAGTGGAGTCCAGAGGTGGAAATCACGTTTGTGCGTGCCCTTCCCCAACCCACCCTCCTCCTGCCCTCCAGCAGGCGTTACCCCTCTCTGGACACCACTGAATTGGCCCCCAAAATGGTCTACAGGTTTCTTGTTATAACTCTCTCGATACATCTATCTATACCTATGTATGTGAAGTGAACTTTTCATGGGCTTTTCAAATTTTGTTAGTTTTTGCGAATAACCAATCTTTGGCTTGATCTATCAGATTTTGTTACAATTAAGTTTCTATCATTTTCTATTTTCCTTGGGTTTGTCAGTTGAAGAACATAGTTGCCTACCCATGGTTGTCCATAAGACGCCCTCCCCAGGAGCCCCTTTCCTTCCTAACTCAGCGAATGGGTGGTTTTACTGTCAGGAACTGACCCTGGGCCCCTAGTGATAGGAGTGCTCAAGGGTTGACAATTTGAGCTTCAGTCATAGTTGATAGGCTTGAGTGATTAATGCATGTGGAAAGCTGTTATTCCAGAAACTGGAATGAATGACCCAGTGACTCCAGGAGGCTGACAAACAATTTACCCTTGTGCCCCAGAAGTCTGCAAGGGATGAAAAGGGTGTCTGAACCACTGTGTTCCAGGGAGGGAACATCTGCGACACAAAGAATTGCTGATCAACAGATAAAGAAGCACTAGGAAAATTGCCACCAGACTGCAAGTCTTATCCAGTTAACCTTTTTTTCTAAACCCCTTACCTACACTTTCTTCTCCTTATAAAAAGGTT